ACTGTGGGTCTGTGCAGGACAGATGTCGTGAATTTAGAAGGCTTTTTCAGAATAACTCCATTGCTTTTGTCAGCCACCTACATGAGAGTATTTTAGGAGGAATGTCCCAGCTTGGGGCCATAGATGGGGTTCTAGACCCAGGGTTCTAGACCACAACTTGAACACATCCCTTCCTCTCCCTGGGGCTCAGCTTTCCCTCCTGTACAAAGTGGAGATGGGATAAATTAGCCTTTCCCAAAACGTGTACCTCAAAACTAGAAGTGTGTGTGGTAGGCAGTTAGATAGTTGTGTGAGGCCCAGGTCCCACAGGAAAGAGGAGGAGCTGGGGGTGGGAGGGGTGGATGTTGGGCTGGAGATATCTGGGACCTGCAGTCAGACATATCCTGCCCAGATGGTCAAGGAAATTCGAATACAGAAGCCACAGGACATCCATTAGCATTGTGGTTTGGCCCACCCTCCTCCTGGTGGGCTTTCTTAAGGGATGCTATGTAATGAATAAGACAAAAGAACTTTACAAAGGCGCATGGCCCCAAGGAAGGAGCCTTCCTTCATGGCCAGCTATCTGGAAGGTCAAAGGACTGTCCTGTCAGTACTTTACAAGGAGCTGGATCAAACCAGACAGACCCAAGATGGAGGATACCAGGACAGGAAGCCCTCACCAAATTAGGAAGAAAAGGCATGAAACCCTGCTTTTTGCCCCAAGCAATGAATATTTTGTCCCCCAGCTAAGAAGTAAAAAGCCTGGGACCAATTCTGCTGGGGCACTTAAGCCTCCCCCAAGCTGCCTACACCCCACTCTCGTGAGTGTGCTCAGTAAACTCTGCTTGCTGGAGTTTTCTGGTCTCTTGGCTGAGTTGTTTCCTGCCAGAAGGCTACGAACCAAGGCTGTACTGCTCCAGGCAGTGACAAGAAGCATCCTTGGTGAGAAAAGTCTGGAAGGTTCTGGGGTAAATAAAGTCTGAAAGTTCCTTTACTGCATAACTCCCTGGGCTTTGAGTATGGTAAAGACCACTTTAACATTATCAAGTGGGGTGGGTAGAAAGTTATATTCCCTAAGCCTTACGTCATCTAGTCCCTTTCCCTCTTTTCAGTACACATCATGTGACAAGTGTTCTGCTGAGTACACTTCAATGGGCAGCATAAGGCAAAATTATTTCTAAAGCCCCTCTAAGAAAAAGAATTCTTTTTCTTCTGTGTAATTTTTCCCTTTTGATTAAAAATCATACAGAATACTTAGCTCTATCGGTGATGTCATAAAAGGCTGAAGAGGAAAAGAGAAGAAATATATACAAATACTGAGAGGGTTGAAGGGAAACTCCTCTTTACAATATGCATTTTGGATAACAGTAATAAGAAAAGTTAGGGATTATTTTTTTTTTAATTTTTTTTTCAACGTTTATTTATTTTTGGGACAGAGAGAGACAGAGCATGAACGGGGGAGGGGCAGAGAGAGAGGGAGACACAGAATGGGAAACAGGCTCCAGGCTCCGAGCCATCAGCCCAGAGCCTGACGCGGTGCTCGAACTCACGGACCGCGAGATCGTGACCTGGCTGAAGTCGGACGCTTAACCGACTGCGCCACCCAGGCGCCCCCCCCTCCCCCGAAAAGTTAGGGATTATTAAGTATTTACTTAAAGTACTATAGACCGTGTTAAATGCTTTACTTGAATTATCTGATTTAATTCTCACACTAGCCTTAGGAAGCATCTATTATTTTTGTTCCCTACCTACAGGGGAGGAAACTGAAGTTCAAAGAGGCTTGATAAATAAAGTGAAGCCGCCTGAGTAAGAAGAGGCAGTGCTAAGGTCTCCACTCATTGTAATTCCATCCTAAGATTTTTTTTTAACTTTATTTATCTTGAGAGATGGGGCGTGGGTAGGGACAGAGAGAGAGAATCCCAAGCAGGCTTTGCGCTGTCAGTATGGATCGCGACCCCAGGGCTCCACCTGCCGAGCCGCGAGATCATGACCTGAGCTGAAACAAAGAGTCAGACGCTTAACCAACGGAGTCACCCAGGTGCCCCTTATTCTAAGAATTTTAAATTACAAGTTACTGTCTCCTTTTCTGTACCCCGATCCAGCAAGCTGCCACAACAAACCAGAAATAAACGAATTGCAATGGTAATTACCCTCCATCTAAAATTCTTGAGTTCACATGAAATAATGTTGAATCATCAGTCTCTTAGGTCTACTGAAAAAATATATATATATATACATATATATATAACAACTAAATGTTACCAAATGATTTATTATGATTGGTGCTAAGTTACAATGTATATGAAATGGAGTCATTTATGGAAACACATAAAAAATAGTTGCCTATTTCTGTAATTATATTCACACAAGAATCTGAAATATAGTTTCTGGTCTGCCTTTTAAAATATATCCACAGAATGACTTTTGTAGTTTTCACCACACAATTTTACAATACTGATACTGCACCTGTATCATTTACCATACTAGATGAGCTAAACAGAATATGAAAGCAGATAATAGCAAATTGGTTTTTTATATCATCAATGATTCCAAAGAAAATAGTAGTTTCCATTGGCAGTGAAAATAGATGGTAGTAATTAGCATTGTAGAAATTGCATACATAGATATGTATGTATATATTTATATGTTGCTCAGGGCCATTGTTCCATCAATAGGCAGCTGCCTTTTAGGTGGACCAATGGTGGCCAAAATGGTGTGCAATGCCATTGGGACAATTAGTAGTACTACCTTTTATGTCTCTCTCCCCCAAACAAATAGGTAAGAAAGTAATACAGCAGGCTAAAATCTACAGTGTTACATACCAAGGTAAAAACAGTTATTGAGTTATTAGAGTCACAGTAGTTTATGTATATTTGCTATTCACAGACCGCAGACTTTTTGCTGGATAACCGAGCTGCTGGAAATTGACGACATGTAGACATGCATTCGTGTGAGTCCATAATTAATGATGTTTATGCTGTAATAAGCACATTCATTTTAACACCATTCAATAAACAGATGCCTTTAAAGTTTGAGCTAAATCTGCTATCACAATTATACACAAAAAGAACCTGTAAACAATTTGACACTACACTTATGTACAAGCGAACTGCATTGGAAAGGAGAAGAGGTAATTTCAGTGGGTGCCACTTGGTATACATCAGTGTGCAACAAACTGACCCAAGTCATCAAGCACTTGAATGAGGTCAGGAAAAAGTAACATGAGCAAGGCCCCAATAGATCACCACTCGATATTAGTACCAGCAAAATTCAGACTCCTCCATGTTGACATCACATTCAAAGCATCAGCAATGGATGTAGGAGGAGCTTGATAATTCCTGGCAAACCGTGTTTGGAGATCTCCAGGTGACCTCATCAACAGGGTCTTGATTTTTATAAGTGTCGAGGGTGATGCTGATAATATTTAAATGTGTCCATTTAATTTGGACAAATTATCTTGTTGGTTAGCTTCAACCCAGTGCTCTGCTGGTTCTGAAAGATGAGGGGAACAGGAATTCAACTGAGATCGTGAGTTCAATTCCTTCAGCCAACACAAAGATTCTTGATTTTACAGAGTAAAGTCTTATAAGGGAAGCAAGCTGGACTCCATCACGAATCTAAAAGGTCACCCATTTATAGCAGATCCCATTAAAGCTTTCAATAGGACTCTCTGAAATGCAAGTCCCCTAAGTTTGTATTTCTCTGTGTTTTTTAAAAAGTCTATATACTTATTTTTGAGAGAAAGAGAGAACATGAGCAGGGGAGGGGCAGAGAGAGAGGGAGAGAGAGAAACCCAAGCAGGCTCCATGCTGTCAGTGAGGAGCCCAACACCAGGCTCAAACCCAAGAATAGTGAGATCATGACCTGAGCTGAAATCAAGCATCAGTCACTTAACTGACTGAGCCACCCAGGTGCCTCTGTGTTTCTATGTGTTTTAAGAAGGATACCACTCCATGAATTCATGAATCCATTTCTTTATATCAGAAACAGAGTAATCAGGGGTTTTGGCACTTCTCCACCCCTCCTGATTTACAAAAAACACGTTACTCTGTCCTTTTATACACTAAGAATATTTCAAGCAAAATTCTCCTGATTCAACAGTCTCCTTTGGAATTAAAAATAAATCAATGAGAGAAAATGATAGGGGAACTTGAAGCCAGGGATGAGGTAAAACTTCCCCCTCTGCTCCAAAATCGCTGGGACAAACAACCACTCCTTTTTCAAGTGTTCTTAAAGCTAATTAGAATGTTTAATTGCTACAAAATTGATTTTTCTTTCATATGCTTTTAAGACCACATCTGCAGGGAGCCTATGGGGAAAAAAAAGTGACCGTACTGAATTATCTTGCAAATGCTTCTGATTGTGTGAGCAAACCTGACAGGTCCCTGGGAGAAGGATTGTGTGCTTGGACAGGTAGGCTGGCCCTGGGCTGGGAGTCAGGCTATTTCTGAGGGGATGGGCTTGTAGGCATACAAACTGATCCCACGGACCTCCAGGAAAGCTCTGTTTGCATAGGTTGACTGAATACGCAAATGTGTTATGTGGTTATGAACGAAAACATAACTTACCATATTCTTAAGAGTGCCCCGATTAAATTTAGTCATTTGGCCATTCTGTCTATAAGATGCCAAAACATAAGCAATGGTCTTTCACTTCACTGTATGTTGTTCCCTCTTTGAGCAGCTGTTTTGGTGTCTGTCTGAATAGGCTTACTGGGTTATGTGCAGGAGTCTGGAAAGTGTTTGGTTATTATTACAACGTGCCCTTAAGCTGTACTATATATTTACAATGTGCATATTACAAATTATTTACTATAGTCTTAAAACAAACAGGTAACTAGCTCCACATACAAATTGTGTAGGGTTACAGGGATCCCCTTCCCACGAATGCTAAAGTGAAACCAGTAGGGAAAGAATAAACTAATGGATAGCAGGTGAAGTACCATTAGTGTAATAACCACTGAATTTGTGCTCTTGTAGACCTATATAGTCTTATTCTTTTCTTCTTAAATATCATATTCATTTGGTGGGGTTTTTGCTTTTTGTTCTTTTGGGACTTTTTTTGGGGGGGGGTGGGAATGATCATGTTCGAAAACACATAGTTTGGAATTCAAACCACTAGTTCAAATAAGAAAGCCAGTTTTTACAAGTTTGACTTTTCCTTAAATGCACTTTGGTTTTATATCCATAGATGTTATACCAACGTATTCTAATCATATTTTTGGTACCATAATATATACACACTCATAGTGGGAGATAACTTTGGAAAACAGTACTATCTAGGAAACCAATTATAAATAATAATAATAATAATAATAATCCCTCAAACTCAAAATCCCAGTTTCAAACTATCGGATTTATGTGTGTATACATATGTATGGATATAGATAGATATATACATTTAGATAGATGTACACACATATATACATATATACATAAAAGTTATATATTAACACACATACACACCACACATATATACATATTCTTCATACACGCACTCCTATTTCAGTGCAGTTTCCTTTCGTGGCCGCCTCTCTTATTTTCCAACTTAGAACAGTAATGATGAGATTCTGGGGGCAGCCAATCATGTTTGGATTTCTGACCTATCTTGAAAAAACTGATATTGTTTAGAAGGCCCAAAGGTGAAAATAGCACATACACGCACGTACCCACACACACACACGCACGCAGGCCTATTTTACCTCCTGTGAGATCTCCCTGGTAACCTGTAAACGCCCAGGAAGCATGTGTAGGCACCATCGTCTTAACACAGAACGTATCTCACCACTTTGGGTTTCTTAGGGCATCAGTGTTCCCCAGACATGTGTTCTGTAACGTTACTGCCCCTTGATAGGGCGTGTGTTAGGAAGTACAGTCTGTGGGAGGCAAGACTACCCCTCCAGGTGTGCCCTTCTTTATCTCCTAGGGAGGTGCACGTCTAATGGGATTTATAGTTTATTAGCTAATGACTTTCTGGAAGGGTGTCAGGCTGGGTTCTTCCTGGCTACCTTTTGGTTAGAGTAGAAGAAACCAGAAACAGGTGAAATCCAGAGAACAGAGACAAAACATTATATAATGAGGTGGTTGGAGTCTAATAAACCCAGATGGAAATCTGGCTCTTCCACTGTCAAGTTATGTGCGACTTTACCTTTCTGATTGTCACTGACTTTATCTGTGAGAAGAGGACAGTAACAGGGCCTACTTTGTTGGGTAATTATAGGGTTAGATAAGGCATGTTTTCTGGCACATATTCCTTGTGTGCACACTATCCTTAATATACGTCATTTACAACTTAATATTTAAATTAGAAATCTAGAATGTGGATCAGAATTACATACAAAAATAATGTTAGTCTAGGAATTGAGGGATAGGAATTCAAGTGCTGTATCACACACGTGATTCCCCAGTACATTATAATGCTCACCACAGTGGCCTGTACATGGTAGGCACTCAACAAAAGCCTGCCAAATGAATGCATGAAAAAGGAAAGAATGCATGACTGACTTAAAGTCTCTGGGTCCCAGTTTCCCTTGGATGACATGAGGATAGAATGTTCTGACCTTTATTCCAACACTGGGATGTTGGCATGAGAAGTTGAAAGAAAAATGTCAAATATTTAAGACACAAACATGTTGTGTGTCCTAATGAAGTCAGTACATACAAAAGAAATAATATGGCTCAATAGCCAGGGTCTATGCTCAGACTTGTCACGTCTTTGAAAATAAGGGCATGGGGACCTCCAGTATGAGAATGAGAATATTTTCCTAGCTCTAAGTGTCATCGTTAGCAAGGGGGTTTTCAGCCTAAAGAAACAAAGTACATGATAAGCAGTTTAAGACGATGAAATCATTGGCCTATTCTCAGTACTTTTTCTCCCTTTTTCCTGTTTGATTTCTTAAGAGCACCTGTTAGCTACTGTGGTTTGGCTTGAAAAACATCCCTAATAGGGTCCTGTGAACTCAAAATGCTCCCAAAGTGCTTTACACCAAACACATTTAGTTGTAAGATTGATGACTTCACTGAAATACCGTTTTTCTGAGGCAGAGAGTGACTAGAAGACAGAATCCCAGACCGCAGACCTACCCCGTCATTACTGACACCCCAGAAACCAGGATGTAAACTTCTCTAAATCTCAGCATTCACATTTGCATAAAAGGACAATTGTATCCCATCTTAAGTAAACCCTGTAGAGATGTAAGGTGGTATAATTACTATCACACCACCTCATCCAATCTCCTGAACCAGATGTTCTTTCTCTTCATGGCAACAATGCTTTGGAACATGAGAGCCAACCCTTAATTCAGGGTTTTTTCCATCTCAGCGCTATTGACATTTGGGGCTGCATAATTATTTGTTGTGGGGCTGTCTTGTGCATTCTGGGATGTTTAGCAACATCTCTGGTCTTTACCCATTGGATGCCAGTTAGCACCTCTCAAGTCACGACAATCAAAAATGTCTCCAGGCACCTGCCACAAGTCCCCTGGGGCTTTGACAAAAATCACCCCTGAATGAGACCCACTGCCTGAAATACACGTAACCCACACAAATCGAAGAAGAGTGTTTCCTGAGGCTGTTTCTCTCACATACAAGAATAAATCAATGACCACCGGCTGCAATTGAGAAAAACTGCCAGTAATCACTGAGAATCCTGTGTATATTTTAGCTTTCATGGTTATCTTTTTTTCTTCTCTTTCCTTTTCTATTTTTTTTCTTTTTTGAGTAAATGTCATTGCTACTAGTGACTATATGAATAAAAATGAGTTTGATGTTTACCCTGAAACCCGTGGTGCTCAAAATCCACATCTGCAGACCAGCTTTACTCAACATTGTCAGGCACTGACACCCATAGTAAAGACCAATTCGTGATGAATTCAAAGCTTTGAAACTTTGTAACCGAAGACTTTTTCCATGCATGCAGATAGCATTATCATGGACATTAGCCACTGACCCAATCCTGACCTAAAAATCGCACAAGTGTGCGTATACACTCCCATACACTCACACGGAGGTGCAGTTACTAAGCAAGTCTCCGCTACTTTCTGGTGCATCAATCTTGCTTCCATTTGTGATGGATGGAGCCAACCACCAGCAGTAGAGAGAGTCTGAAGTGAGGCTGATTTTTATTGTGCAAATGCAGGTAAATTAGCTAAAGGTCAATTCTAAGAATCAACTGACAAGATGAAAGAGGTTGCTGGAGAAAGGAGACACTAAATCCTCCAGTCAGCATGTAAGTGCTTTTAGGAGGCTGATTAACAGGAAAATCACCACTCCTGTTCAACCCAAGACAAACCCCTAGATAGTTGCAGGGCTAGGGTACATTTTTCTTTAGCTTTTTCAAAGTAAATTCCCTAAATAAAGCAAGGGTGACAGTCTAGGAACTAAAAATTCTTTCCCCAGTAAACAACACACTTTGTTCACAAACAAGAGAAACATTTTTTTAAAGGTTAGGAAGCTGGGACAATGAAGGGACCCTACTTGGGAAATAGAGGAGGGAAGCAAGCTGAATCCAATTTAACATTTTTTAAAAATCTTGGCCAAATAATCTTAACTGGCAATTTAAGTTTATTAATTTTATTAACCATTCTTTACTTTCCTATGACAGTGGTGTTTAAATATTCATGGAGGATCATCATGAGAGTGTATTTAAGCCATTCATTCTCTATTTCTTGTATCACGTGGGAATTTGATACCTGCCCAGTTATTCTGTTATATGGGTAGAACCAACTGGATCACTGAAACTCCCTAAAATGGTTTCTATCTTAATAATTATAGTATGGCCATCCCTTCTGGTCAGAGTGGAAAATTATAGAAATTCATCTCCTTCTTGCCATCGTATGTGAAATATGAACAGTGTTTTGAATTTTCTTTTTCTTCCTTCCTCCTCTCCTCTCCTTTCCTCCCCTCCCCTGTCCTTCTTTCCTTCTATCCTCCCTTCCTTCCTTCCATATTTATTTTCCCTCATGGGTTTTGCTTGCCGGTTTTAGTTAATATTGGCATTCAGGATCTTCAACTATCTGAGAGTGTCATAATCTTGCATAAGTCAAATTGGACAAACTTAGCAATTCAATGACTTGGGATCTTATTGGGGAGATGCAGCTAAATTCACTAATCACTGCCTATTCATTTTGGTGGTGTTTATATGTGCAGTTAATGGGACCGCCTTTGGGGCCACACACACCACCATTAAATTATGGATCATTATCAAGTTCCTCTGACTCAGACTGCACAAGGCCTGGAAACGAACAACTGTCCTTGCGAAACTTCACCTTTTTTTCCTTCCTTGATGGGTATCATAAGGATACATCTCACTCAGAGATGTGCTCCCATCTACCCTCAGTACCAAGACATAAAACTATATTGATGCAGGCTTTCAGTTTGGCAAAAAACAAAACAAAAACAAAATACACAAATATGCACAAAATGGAAAGGTGCTGTGGTTGACAGGCAGATGAAAGGGCAGAAGAACCATGGAATCTACTCTGCCCTAGTCCTAGGATTCTTTTCTTTGGGCCTTTTCTCTTAAGATAATGAATAGTGTAAGCCTTGGCTTCTTTGTAGTGGAAATAAAAGTGAAAGGAAGTGAGACAATACAGACCTCGGCATAGTTCCCTCAACAGAATTTCTTAAAGGTCCAGAGACCATCCCATCAAAACCGTTAAAGATGCTGGGCCAAAATGCGTATTCCTTCGCCCTGCTAGAAGTTTCTGAATCACTCTCTCTGGACCTACGGTAAAGGGATCTGCATTTTCACAGGTACTTCAAAAGATTTTTGTGCACACCAAGTATTGAACAACACTGCTAAAAGTTTGCAGTGGAGGTCACTAGGAAAAGAATCTCCATTTGAATGTATGTTGCAAGATGAGAAATACAGATATTTCAAACATAGAAGTTCTGTGGTTGCATCATAACATGGTGATTATTAAAGTTTAAGGCTCTTTTCTTTCAGCAGGGGTGGAGAGCAATAATCATTTCATCTAAATCCAGAGTGATGAAGGCAATATAAATCAAACTCATTCCAGCAGGTTTCATTTGGTCTAATTTCTCTGCAGATATTAATCACTGTACAGTCCTGTACAAATGACATCTAACTCCATTTTAACTCAGAATACAGAATACTCACTCAGATTCCTTCTCTAGTGTGTTATTTGACAAATAAAAGAAAATAAATAAATTGGAACAGTGGGCCATCAAGCTTGCAAGATGCCAACAATGCCAAGACATTAAGGAGAGAAATGGCCCATGCTAAACCTACAACCCAGCATGCAAATTGGCAAAAGCATTTATCTGCTACAGAGTCACCAGGGGGAAAAAATGGCTCTCTTCATTTTTCCTTTGAAAATTGCTATGTCAAGTGGAGGTGACAAAGAATTCTCCCTAAAAGTTCACAGAAAGACTCTCATTCATTCTAGCAAAGATCATCTAGAAGACCAAGGTTAGTCAAATTCCATAGCATGGTATCTAGTGGCAGAAAATACCAGCACTCAAATGCGCTGGGTTAATTCGTCACGGTACATACAAAGTTGGAAGGTTACAACTATAACGAAGGAAAACGTCTGAGAATCTACGTGTGGCTCCCATTATGGGAGCTGGTGTCAGGAAATTTTGCCAAACACCATATATGCCTTTTCTTCTTCTCACTGGAGGGTGTTTTGCCTGTGGCAGCCACAAAGGATAATCAGAGGGGAATCTAAAGCCTAGAGAAGCAAAAGTAATGCAGAAGCACAAGCTGTTGACAACTAAGAGGGCCCACGATGAAGAACACACATCTGTGCCTAGGAATAAAGGTGCCTTTGAATCAAACAAGGGCAACTGGAAAATGAAAAGGTCCATTAGTTTCCTTCTAATAAATGTGTCTCCCTAAGTGAATCAGTTGAGGGTAGACATGGCTAAGGAGGAATAAAGGGCGAAGGGAACACATGATTTGTGCGTTGTTCCCCTTTTATTTTAATTAACCAGGCATGCATGTCCAGTAAGATAACTGCCTACAATCACAAAGGATTACACCACAGCATATTCTGGAAGCCACCTCACTTTGTTGTTTTATGACCACATCTCAGTGCAATTTTTTTCTCAGCAGGGGGAGGGAGATCACGACACCACAGTGATCTCACAGTTTTATTTTCCTGTCTCCCCCCTTTCCTGCTAAACATAAGTCACTTCCTTTTTGATAATGGGTAGGAGGACTTCATAAATGTGTTTCTGACTTCAGGAGATCCATGGACCTGTAGAGAGTGACATCCCCAACCTCACTGGATTTTAGCACTGCAATCTAAGTTGGGGTTCTATACATATGATTCCTCATTCATTCGATCCATTGGATGTTCTTAGTTTCTTCAAAGCAGCAAATTACGGCCCTCATCATAACCAGTATTCAAGAAGTGAACCACATATATCGTTCTGTCCAGAAGTGAACTACAAGTTCCTAAAGCTATTCTAAGCTCTGGGAAACTGGCATGAATCGGGGGTAACCGAACGTTTAATCGTGTAACTCACTTACTCAGAGCTCATTTCCATTGTGGCCGGCCACACTTTCCTCAGGGGATGACTGCACTCAAACAAGGACAGAAGCTTCCCACGGACTTGGTGGCTCCTCAGAGATTTCCTGATCAGGTCTATATTCATCTCCATAATCAACACCCACAGTTGTCTTAGCTATTTGGACTACTTCGGGTAGGTGTCAGTTTAGAGTTGACCCAGATTAAAACTGTTATTATTGTTTTAATCAGATTTCCTACCACCAGTTTCGATCACTGGGGAGGTCTAAGGATTGCCTATGGAGAGAAAAATTCACGACGGGTCAAGGGTCAGGGACGTACGCCATGAACATGTTCTTTGCAGTGTTGGGTTTCCTAGGGAAAGCGGGCGGTAGAAGCAGTGGGGTGGACTGACATCTTCCTCCTCCTCCAGTTCTTACTAGTGCATCTCTGTCTTGACACCATTATAGTCAGGCCTGAAATTTAAGGAAGCTGGAACCTTGGGCAGTTAATGTAGATGGCAAATTCCAACAGGGCCACAGGAATCATCCGAACTAAGTGAGTTTGGGGATATTTTATCTGTATTCAATTTCTTCTTGAACCATTCAATTCTGTGATTCTTTGCAGGATTGCTATCATTGGGATGATGGTATTTGGGTATGGTATTAAGGAACTTTGAAAGGAAACAAGACATATTGGTAGGCTTTACAAAACTATGTTGTAGTTATGAACAAATGCCTGCTAATATACTAATACATAAACGGACACCACTTAAATTCATTAATGGTAAATCTCTTAACAACTCAACTCCCCAGGTGAACTTTCTTTTTCACTTAAGTAGACCTTTAAATTCCATTTGAACCTCAGGACAGGAAAACATTGGCTGCGTTTGTCGCCCAGAGGTGAGGGCAAGAATTACAAAAATTCAGAAAGATATCCATATACTAAATAGGCACTAGTAACAGGAATCAAGAGAGAACCTCTTACATAATAAATGTGCATCAACAAAATATTTCAAAAGGAAGCGAGTGGTCATTACTTTTCCCTCCTACAGACGTCATCCAGTTGCCTTTATTACCTGTGATACATATACACATACACACACACACAATAAAAAATAAAAATAGGAGTGCTTGGCACACAAACAATGATTGACAAATTATTGTTTAAGTTCCCACTGAAATGCATAAGGAATGCTGAAAATAAAAACTGGTCTTTTCATCCTCATTTACCACAAGCCTATGAAAGACCTATTAGTACATTTATGGAATACAGAACCATATGGATAGATGGCTATTAACAGTTTCTTTTTGGCTGTGTCTCTACAGGCCAAAGATGGACTCAAGAAAGATAGCTTAGAAAGCCAAAACCTTCATTTTCAAGCTCTAGTTATCCAGTTGGGTTGTGCATTCATATCAAGGAAATGACAGCCACATCATAGTACAGACACAGCCAAATCCCAGAATACTAAAGACAAGACCAGCTACCAGGAAGTAACAATGTAGCACTGTAGTTTGAAAAGGCCATGAGAAATCAGGTAGAGTGTGGAATACAAGTGCTTCTTAAAGAAACAAAACAAAAGGCTGGACCCCTATTCAAATCCTGTGTGTTGTTCTTACTTCCACAGCCATATAGGGACGCAGAGAACTGAATGCAGATTACATGAAAAGCCCAGGCCATTAAAACGTGGGCAGGAAGGACTCTGAAAACATTGAGAGAAGGAAGGTAACTCAGCTCAGGGTGGGGAAGGCTGAGTGTGGGGTCAGGGAGAATTTTCACGGCTAGGAATGTTTGTTTCTTTAATACAAAGAATGTTTTACTAGCTCTTCTCACCCTCTCCTAGTGCAGAGAAAGAGCAAAACCGTACTATGGAGCCTGAGGGTGTTCATTTCAAAATAAGGAAGACAATTTGTTGATGACGAGGGTTACCTGATGGTAGAAAGTGTTGCCAAAAGAGGCTGGGAAATCTTCCCAGAAGGGTTTTAAGAAAGGAGCTGAGACTCCTCTGTCTGAAGGAGTCTAAGAGGTTGCTGCTGGGAGCAGGGGTGATCCCCTTAGGATGCCCCGGCCCTGGGGACATGTGCACTGTGTGTATGTACATACATCGTTGTGCTTGTGTTTGCACAAATAAATACTCATGCGTATGTCGTCAATATAAACTGGCACATAATAGATTTGAGTGAAAAGTCATATAAATCTGCCATTCCCCCCCACCCCATAAACAAAAAGGAAAAGGAAAATTAAAAAAACCCGAACCTATGCCATTGGGCCAGATCTCTTTCTACCATGCTCTCATTCAAAGGAGGGAGGGAGAAGATGAGAGAAAAACCCAGTTGGGGAGAGAGGACTCCCAAGGCCTCTCAGCTACTCCTCTGTAGCTGGCTCTCCTTATACGTAAGATGCTCAGTACACGGGACCCAGTGAACAAACAAACAAGTAACCAAAAAGAGATTTTCTTATAATTCCACATCTGGAAAGAGATCTACCCTGTGGATTTAAATGTTAAGGTGAACTAGGTAAATAGGCAGTAGTGTATCGATGGGCTACTGTGTTCTCACAAACGTATTGTTAGTTGTTACTTTTCTTTCAAATGTGAATTTCGCTAGGAGGTTTATTTCCAAATGGTGACATGATTTCTTTCTTCTCCCATTGCCCCGCCCCCCGCCCCTCCCCTATAGATGATACTTCCGTAAAAGTTCAGACTGCCAAGGATGTTTTCTCTCGGGGAACCGATCTGGGATTTTGATCTTAAGGAAATCCTGGATGCATTTCTCCAGCTCTTCCTCAATGGAGAGCTTTTCCTTAACAGCTTTTTTTTTGCTGCTCATGTTCGACTCCCTGGAGCCCGAAGTCAGAGTCCGGAGCAGATCGCTTTTCCGCCGCATCTCCGACTGCTGGATCAGCTGCACGGGGCCCTTCTTGATGGGACGGTCCAGAGTCTGGATGTTGGTCTGGCGTGTCACGGGCCCACAGATGACCGTCTCCTGCGGAGAGCTGGCCTCAGACTGGCTGTCGCAGCTAGAGGTGGAGAGGTCATTGCAAGACGTGCCACTCTCCCCTTCTTTGTCGCCTGCGGTGCTCTTGCAGCAGCAGTGGCAGTGTGAGGATGACCACCTGGAAGGCTCACCTGCAAGGAAGCACAGCACCCAAGGGGTTAATGCCAGCCACCTCAGTCTGGAGGAGCAGCACAGCACCTGAACACACACGCACCCAAGAGTCCACAGCCACGTCTTCAGAAAAAGCAGGGGGCCACACAGGCCGGGCTACAGCATGACTACCCAAAAGCCAAATCTGCTGATGGAAGGAAGTTAGTGGTCTACTGCACAAAAGGAAGGATGGTATCACGCTTCCATCCACAGGCATTGTGACCAATGGCTCAGCTGCACCACCCACTAACCTTGTCACCCTGGCAGTCCCCTTCCATTCTCAAAGCTTCAGTTTCCTCACTGGGAAGGTGAGTATAATCACCCTCCTACTACCTTGAGTTTGTAGGGAGGATTTAAATAAATCAAGTGAAATGCTTAATGCAGTGCATGATATTTACCCTCCGTAAATGCTACCTGATTTTAATTTTTTTTTTCAATGTTTATTTATTTTTGGGACAGAGAGAGACAGAGCATGAACGGGGGAGGGGCAGAGAGAGAGGGAGACACAGAATCGGAAACAGGCTCCAGGCTCTGAGCCATCAGCCCAGAGCCTGACGCGGGGCTCGAACTCACAGACCGCGAGATCGTGACCTGGCTGAAGTCGGATGCTTAACCGACTGCGCCACCCAGGCGCCCCATTGCTACCTGATTTTACTGTGGCTGACGTTAAACCCGGATCCAAAGCTCCACGTTACTGTAATCAGGTACAAGAGGGGAAGGGTCAGGGAGGGCTTCCTTTGTGGCAGCCCCCAGGTGAGTTCTGCACAGCCATCAACTCATGGGAGCCGTGTGATAATTCTATGAGCTCAGCAGCCCCACTCCTAGTTCCCATACAAGGAAACTGAGACAGACCCTGAGAATTTAAGAAACTTACCCTAGTCTGTACATTTTGCAAGTGGCAGAGCTGAGATTTGAATGTAAATTTCCCAAATACCATAACCAAAGCAATTAATCATTCTTCTTGAATTTGCTTGACTGTAAAAATTCCTGCGTTTCTTTAAAAAACAATGTTCAGGGTTTAACTTCTCTCTGAAGTCCTTGCTCACCTCTCCTCAGAAATATTTATCACTTTTTTCTCTGAATTATGGTTTTGTTTTCAAAGTGCCTCTATTATTGCACATATTACATTTTGTTACAATTCTTTTTTACTTTATGCATTTCAGCTATTCACCATGAGCTCCCTGAAGTGGGCACAGCTAGTGTCTATTGTTGTAACCCCAGCAAATAGCTCGGAGTACAGTGTAGAAATTCAATAAAAGGCTGTATCCTAACAGTCACTTTTAAGTCCTGGATCTAGCCACACCTGAAGCCGGTACTGTCAGTAGGCTTTTAAGCTCTATGAACCATTGTATTATATTTAAGCCAATGTGAGTTCCTCTCTTCCTATTCCCCTCAGTCTTGACTCATAGCATTGCATTCAGCTGTTTGGAGACAGACTCATTTTTCAGATACGTGGTTGGTGACTCTCTGAACTAGCAAATCTACAGTTAGGGAACAAAGCAAGTTCCTAAACATAAGTCACTGCCCCCAGCCTTCTATGCTCCGAACAGTCTTCTTAGAGTCATGAACTTGATACTATCTACTCATCATATATTATATGCTGGGCATTTCATATAGCTCATTGCATTTAAGCCATAAAAAATAAAGGGAAATGAGTCCCCTTTATGATGCTAATATTGAGGACAAGGATAATGTAGTATCTTTATGTATTTAAAAGGAGACCCAGTTTTGATTTGTGCTATATCTTATTCTCATAAATAATGAATCATATTATAATAAGATCCCACTTTAGTGCCATTTCTAATATGGTCAAGGTAGAGGAAACCTAAAAGGGAAAAAGAAACTATTTGCAAAGTTATGTCCTGTCTTCTTGTAAAAGGCCTGTCATCTACATATCTAAATAATTTAAATATTTATAGACACTTATCTTAAACATTTTCCAGAGGGGGGAAAAAAAAAGAGTCCCTGTGAATCGCAACTCCCAACTCCACAATTATCTCTAAAGTATACCCACTCTTTCAGACCACTTTTTAAAATGTGACTGTAATCATTGTATTTATACACCCATTAAATGAAATGCAACAATCCAATTAGCCAAAAGGAATCACCACAGCAATAATGTTCTACTTCTCCCAGGCTATTACCAATAAATATCTTCCATGCAACAGGGAAAATGCTCAACATGTACCAGCTGGTGACTGAAAATATCAGCAAGAGAAAATGTTTTGTCTGCCAGCTCAGATTCTGAGGGTATCATTTCTCTCCTTCTGAAGGCAGAATCTGCCTCTACCTCTCCAAACCCAGCCATCCCTATACTAATATGACCTGATGGAGAAATGGCTCAAATGCACTGGGCCAAAAAAAAAGTAATCATATCAGGCCAGAGCTGATCCAGTTTGATCCTTTTTGAGAAAAGTGCAGAAACTGACCTAAATCTTAAGAAAAAGGAAGAAGAGGAAAGAAGAAACAGATAGAAAGGAGAAAAAGAAGAAATATGTGCTGAGATATGCCTGCCCATTATCTCACAATGAAATGACAAAAAATTTTGGCCATAAACCCTGCTGAACAAGTAGAAGTGCAAGCCTGTCCTGTGCTCTTCTCCCTAAGAGTTACCTTCCCTTGGAGGTACTTGGAGGGACACCCGGGGCTTTCCTAAAAGTCAGTTTAGTAACACAAACACCATCATGGGACAGAGCGCCGTGTGTTTCTGCAGAAAAACGTACACAACACTCACTGCACGTCCAAGCCAGGAACCTGGGATAGATGCGGAATCCTCCCTAACCACTGGGCTGATCCTGGATTCCAATGTCAGCTGGGATTCTCCAGCTTCCGGGCAAATAGAAATATTACTTTCCACCTCTTCCAGGCGCTATCACTATTAAAGGGAAATTGAACAACTTAATTTTAGTGGAGCCCATTATACTACCACGTGTTTCAATATTTTATGAGAACATTTGAATGTTTTAACGTTTTTGGCAAGATAATTCATAAGAAGGCTTATGAAGTCTGTATATTAGGTCAGAATCAAGGAAGAGAATGGTATTAATCCAGCTGGAGATACTGTGTGAAGAGTCATCATGAAATGTGAAAGATACTCAAATGTAAGAAGACAGACACCACTCTGTTTCTTTTTTTGGAAGCATTGTCTCTCCGATTACCCGCTTCCCAAGAACTTAAACAGAGCAGAGGTTTTCAACCAGAAGAGAGAAGTGATGTGTGTGGGGGCTGGACACAGCCGCTCTTAAAGTCCCACTGACATGTGCTCAGCAGTCCTGGCAGACGTGGAAGGATCTGCAAAAGGTCAATCTTTCTGTAACTCAAGGTGTTCTAGAATCCCCTCAATTATAGCCAATTACGATCTCATAAATGCCTTGGTACTTAAAATCATAACATACTTTTGCTCCCAATCTGCTGAGCTTCCTATAGAGGCTGGAACATTTCTCTCCATTTGAAGAGAAAATAGGTTACAACTGATTAGCCAGATACAGGGAGAAAACCATTTCATCCTAAGAAAAGTCTGATTTATTGATACTAAAAAAGCAAAAAAAAAAAATTTGTTTTTCGAGGGGTTTATTAACTGGTTAATGGTCAAACAGCACAACCGCACTCTTTATTTTTAAATAAACCATTGCTGAATTTGTTGGATATTCTACCATTTGTGGTGCCCAGCACAGAATAGAGGTTTGGTAAAAAATGTTTGATGAATGAATGAATGAGCCCAAACACATATGCTGAATTGCATTAAGATCCTAACAGGGCACAGCTTGTAGGCTCCAGAATAAGCCCCACAATTTGTCAGTTTGGATAAATTACTTCACCTCTATGAGCCTCAATTTCCTCATGTAAAAAATAAGACAAGGGGCACCTTTCTGGCTCAGTCAGTTAAGTGTCTGACTCTTCATTTCAGCTCAGGCCATGATCTCAGGGTTGTGAGATCCAGCCCTACATTGGACTCCGTGTGGGCATGGAGCCTCCTTAAGATTCTCTCTTTCTCCCTCTCCCTTTACCCCTCTCCCATGCTCGTGCACGTGCTTGAGTGCTGCTTCTCTATATAAACAAAACAAAATAAAATAAAATAAGGCCAATAATAGTATCTCCCTCAGAGAGGTTTTAGGAAAATGAGACAATTAACATGAAGGTGTTTCATGGCTGGCAGGCTGCATCCAAGAAGTATTGCTTTCATCTGTACATAAGTGCTCTACTAAAAGCCAGACGCTAACCTACATAAACAAAACAAATCAGGAGCCTGTTAGATAAGATTAGTAGGTTCCCACCGATGGGCTATACAACCAATTGTTAGGCCTGGCTGGAACATCATGTGAGGAAGGACACGAATTCTGAGACTGGACTCATCAAGAAAATGTATAATGACATTTAGTAATGTCTGTTGTTGGTGTGGGAGTGGACCGTGACCACAAGCACACAACACAGTACGTGACCAGGGAGACTTTCGGAAAGAAGTTTCCTTTACCATGCAGGGCTTAGAATTTCACAAATGGATGCATCTTCTGAGATAAAAATTGACTTGAAGACACATAAAATAAATTTAAACCCAGAGCTGGGAGTAATTTGTAGTTTGGATTAACTGGAGAGGAGCAGGACCCTCAACTGGCCTAAGCCCTTAAAGCTCAAATCTTCCAACATTGTACAACTTGGAAATATTGAGGACCAATCAAGCGAACTGTACGACTGTACACGGCCCCTTTCGACTATAGCCCTAATGGCAGAAGTCCTTACTGATAAAGGAGGAATGAAAGAGGAAAGACTACAGAATATTTCTCCCCTATGAAAAATTCAAACTGAGCCGCGTGAAACATGACTTAGCAAACTCACAGAGTGCTTATGCATTTTTAAAAGAGGGAGCTCTGCAATCTACCCACACTTCAAATTCTCCACCTGCTAATGGCTGTGAGCACAATGCACATCATTTACGGCAACAGCTGGGAAAACTGCTTTCCCCTGTCTTCCCTGTCAATGATGT